TATATATATATATATATATATATATATAATCCACTTCTTCGAGTGTGTTTCGTGGCAAAACTTTGTATTATCTTTAACCAATCATTTTCCTACTATTGCGCTGTGCTCTATGCAGGCTGATCTAGAAGAATCTAAAACACAAGAAAATGAAAAGCTGCAATCAGCTTTGCAAGAAATGCAGAATCAATTCAAAGAAACTAAAGCAATGCTTGAAAAGGAGCGCGAGGCTGCAAGAAGAGCAGCTGAACAGGCCCCCGTAATTCAGGAGGTTCCTGTTGTTGACAATGCAATGTTGGAGAAACTTAATAGTGAAAATGAAAAGCTTAAGGTAAGATGGTCAAATGTGTGAAACTGAAACGGAACTCGTGAACATGTGACCATTTTTCATGAAATACTAATTTGTTCAAATACGTTGTAGGCTCTGGTGAGTTCACTGGAAAAGAAAATTGATGAAACAGAGAAGAAATATGAAGAGGCAAACAAGGTTAGTGAAGAAAGGTTGAAGCAAGCTTTGGATGCGGAATCTAAAATCATCCAATTAAAGACTGCCATGCAAAGGTACAATTCAACAAAATTACTGATTGGTTTATTCCGACTTTGGTTTATGTGTACATCTCTCTTTTCTCTGTCTGAATTTAGTCATTTATTTCTTGCTGATTGGTATCACTTCCACTCACAGGCTTGAAGAAAAATTCTCCGATATTGAATCTGAAAACCAAATTCTACGGCAGCAGACCTTGTTAAAAACACCTGTTAAAAATACATCAGGGCTTCCGCCAACTCCTCCAACTCCAGCTACTCCGGTATTGGAAAATGGCCATCATGCAAGTGAAGAGAGCAAAGTCAATGTAATCTATCAACAATTTCCCCTTTTTTTTTTTCTTTTTTTTTTTTTTCCATTTACTATTCTCATAAATTCATGTTCATACCAGTCCACCTTATCCTTCCAGTTTTTCTGTGGCCACTGACAATGGAATATTTTTTCCCAGGAACCACAAAGTACAACTCCAGTGAAGAAGTTTGGCACGGAATCTGATAGCAGGTTAAGGAGATCAATTATTGACCGTCAACATGTACGCTCTTAAAACTTTGCATCCGTTTCATATGTTGTGTGTTCTTTTTCTTCTTTTGCTGAGTATAGGTCCAGTAATACCTAATATAATATTGTATTTTTTGCTATTTCTACAGGAGAATGTTGATGCTCTCATCAACTGTGTTGTCAAAAACATAGGGTTCAGCCAGGGAAAGCCCGTTGCAGCTTTTACCATTTACAAGTGCCTTCTTCACTGGAAATCTTTTGAGGCTGAAAGGACTAGTGTGTTTGATCGTCTCATTCAGATGATTGGTTCTGAAATTGAGGTGAGAGAGAGAATAAAAAGAGGAGATATCAATTAGATACATGAGAGTTAATTTTATATAAGGTAAAAAATTGGAGCCAGATTTGAGAACTTCTAATATAAAAAAACCTTTTTTGATTTCAGAATCAAGATAACAATGATCATATGGCTTATTGGTTGTCAAATACATCTGCATTACTGTTCCTACTCCAACAAAGTATGAAAGGTGCCAGCGGCGCAGCTCCACAACGGAAACTGCCCCCCGCGACTTCTCTTTTTGGGAGGATGACCATGGTATTAGATTCTTCAATCTAGACTATTTCTTTTTTCCTTTTTGGGTTACTCTTGGATGTTTGAGTTTCTAATGATCCATAGTTAATTATCTCGCACTTCCTTTCATTACGTCATGCAACATTTTGTAATTTATTTGCAGGGTTTTCGCTCTTCCCCTTCTTCTGCGAATCTTCCCGCACCTGCGCTGGAGGTAGTACGCCAAGTGGAGGCAAAATATCCAGCTTTGTTATTCAAGCAGCAGCTCACAGCATATGTTGAAAAAATATACGGAATCATTCGAGATAACTTGAAAAAGGAGTTATCATCATTGCTTTCATTATGCATTCAGGTAATCCGAATCTAGCACTTTTTTTAATAATAAAGAATTCTATTTGAATTGATCAAACATGATCTTGATCCAAACCAAAATCGGGCTTGATAGAGACTTGTTGGTTTTGGTTGTTCTTTCCTTGTATGATGTTTACTGATTCTGGTGTGAGATTTTTGACTTTTTAAGTAGAATTTTCGTTTAGTTTTGAACATGCTTCATATGCAATGTTTTACGTTGGTATTAGGCACCAAGAACGTCAAAGGGAGTTCTAAGGTCTGGGAGGTCCTTTGGTAAAGATTCTCCTGCAAGTCATTGGCAAAGCATCATTGAAAGCCTTAACACTCTCCTTGCCACACTGAAAGAAAACTTTGTAAGAAATTTTGCTTTGCATCAACAGAGCTAAAATATCGATAACAGTGACTTCCTTTTTACACTTGGAACTAGTAATGAATCATGCTTGTGGGGATTTCAGGTGCCTCCAATTCTTGTCCAGAAGATCTACACTCAGACTTTCTCATATATTAATGTGCAACTCTTTAATAGGTAATGAGTTTTTCTTTTGGGAAATTTTGTCAAGTTGTACCAGAAAGTTTAATTAATCTGGAAATTTTCTGTGCTTTTCAGTCTTCTTCTACGTCGTGAATGTTGTACATTCAGCAATGGAGAGTACGTAAAAGCTGGATTAGCAGAATTGGAGCTGTGGTGCTGCCAGGCAAAAGACGAGGTGAATTAGTCTTTCTTTGTAAATTTGGTTAACTCCAATATCGGCACAACAATGTGTGCCAGTTTTCTTTTCAGTTGTCCATACACTTAACCCTTGAACTTTATTATAACTTAAATGACTTCCCTGAATCCCATGGAATTTTCTTCTTTTTTGCAGTATGCTGGTTCATCTTGGGATGAACTTAAACACATAAGACAGGCTGTTGGGTTCTTGGTATGTTCACTTGGCTTTCATGTTGGAGCATTTTTTGCCTTTTTTAGTGTTGGAGCTTACTCCATCTTCAAAAATCTTGATCTGCAGGTTATACATCAGAAATATAGGATATCCTACGACGAAATCACCAATGACTTGTGCCCTGTGAGTTCCTCTCTCTCCCGTGTCTGTGTGTGATGTGTGGGTCCTCGTACGAATATAGAGATAGACCAAAAACTTGATTTCAGCGGTGGTCGTAACTTGTGCATTATTTAGATAATTTTTTCATTTAATAGGACCAAAATACTTGTTATTGTTTTCATTATACCAAAATGTTCCCATCAGAGTACATACAAAAACAATATTCATCTTTAAGATTCTTGCGAAAGATATTACAAGTTCTTTTCACTTGAAAAATCACATGTCGTTTATCTTCAAAGATTGAATACCATTTCGGTGTTCTTTTTTAGTCCTTGTTTTCTTCACTGCACTGAAATGCGCAGGCATTGACTGAAGCATCAATGTTTTATTTCTCAGATCCTCAGTGTCCAGCAACTGTACAGAATATGTACCCTGTACTGGGATGACAATTACAACACGCGAAGTGTATCTCCAGATGTAAGTTTATTCGTGGCAATCTTATACTCATAATACACTCCGATGAATTCAAATCCTTACCATCCATATGTTTGATCATTTTTCAGGTAATTTCCAGCATGAGAGTACTCATGACTGAGGACTCCAATAATGCTGTCAGTAATTCCTTTTTGTTGGATGACAACTCGAGGTGAGATTTTTCTTCTCTTTGTAAATTCTTTTTTTCTTACGCTGTTAATTCAGAGCATGAAATGGCTATACTAGAAGGCTGTGACTAGACAGATGCAAGCCCTGCATATTCGTATAGTTTTTCAATTTTCGTATGTTCACATACATTTTTTTTTTTTTTTTTTGGATATTTAATAGCTGACCAAATTCATGCTCTTAAATCTTAACGCAGCATTCCCTTCTCGGTTGATGATCTTTCCACTAAACTGAATGTAAAGGATTTCTCAGATGTCAAACCAGCAGAAGAACTTCTTGAGCAGCCGGCCTTCGAATTTTTACACGAATGAGGCTAAGGAAGCTCATATTTTGTTTTACCTGTGTTTTTTAATGGTAGGCAGTACTTCATATTCCCTTTAGCAATTTCATTTGTTATTGTAAATCCTTTCCCCCCCATCAACTGGAAAAAAAAGAGTAAAAACTAAAAAGTCCCTGGCCTCTGTGTCAATGCCCGTGCTGTAAAATTATGTCATTTTTTATTTTTTTATTTTTTAACTTTGTTTTGGCATTCAAGGGGGCAGTAATATCATTTAAGGTGTGTATACTTTTTTTTTTTTTTTTTGGTATTTTCTTTGGTATTGTTTTCGTTCCGCCTTCTGGGCAGCAGCTTTTATAGGGAGTTTCAGATGCAATTTGTTTTATACTTTGGTGGATGATGAATTGCTCTCTCCACCCAATTTTTGTTGTAAAAAGAAACAACATATATACAAGCACAATGACATTTTTGGTTTTGTGAAATTTTTTGGTGATTGGATTTCTACGCACTTGTGTGCAATTGTACTATATGGACAATTTCTCCCATCTTGCTATTTTATGATGCATAATATGTTATGTTATTGATAGAAAAAAGGCAGTATGTATTTAGAAGTCTTTAGAACGAGAGTATAATTGGTTGGATGAGTACCCCAAGTAAAACTTACATGACATTATAAGATTGTTGTTGAAATGTAGCAATTTTTTGTTGCAATATTATGATGATATTCATGTTTTCATGCAGTAATTATTTTAATGATTTTAATTTTTGTTTTTTGTTTTTTTTCCATAAATATTCCAAACTTCTTATTATATTCCAACCTGACTTGTAGAATTTTGTTGTACGTTTTAACTTTGAGTGTAATTCAACTATTTCCGAATATGGTCACCATTAATCCTTGGCCTGGACTGGATTAATGCACAAGAGGTTTCAGGTTCGGACTTGGTCCAATCAAATAATGTCATGTGATATATTGGCTTTTGTCTAAATCTAATCATATAACATCACACTGTTTATCCCTTAAGGACTGTCAGTCTATCATATATTGATTAGATAAAAGTGATCATTTGTAGTAGTTAATTATTAAAAAAGAAGAAAATACTAGTTTATAACACAATTTGTTGTACACTATATGACAAAATTAGTATGGTGGAACTGAAATGTAGCAAAATTTTTAGAATATTTTAAAAGTAACAAAAATTACATAATAAGTAGCATAATGATTTCATGTGTTATACTATATAATCACATAATAACTACTTTATGATATTACTTTCTGTTTTTCTCAAAATATTTTGATAATTTTTCTATATTTCAACTTTACTATGCAAAATTTCTTGAATGTCTAAGAAGCCCTTATTCCTATCGAATTTGGATTTCTGGTGGGCTTGTGTTCTTACCCAATTTGTAGGGTAATTTAGAGCCCGTTTGGTTGGAGGATTCGTTCTCTAATTCGAATTATGATTCATAATTTGTTATAGTATTTTCTCACAAAAAAGCACACGTAAATAAAAAATAGTTCTAATATCATGATTCTAATCCATAAACTAAACGGGCTCTTATATATCTTAGTCCAAAGAACACAATTTTTTTTAATTTTTTTTTTATTTTTAAGGGGAACACAAGTTTGCTTTTGCTACGCGTATCCACAATCAACATCATTGAGTCCGCTCTCCCTTCTGAAAAGCTCATTAGTTCTTCAAAAATAATGGACTTTTTATGTAATTTTTGCTTCACAACCCTTTAATTATCTGATAATTGCACCGTTAAATCTTAGGAAAGGAGCAGCTAACGTTGAATGGCTATACCAATAAATGAATGGGGTACAATGTGGTTGTGAAAATGAAAAACAAAAAAAAAAAAAAAACCTTTTGATATCCTGACTTTAGAGCTAAAAAACGAGACACCCCAGAAGCTGATGATGGATTTCACATGGGAATGCCCTTAAAAAAACACCTCAAAACACTTTTGAGAGTGGCTTTTCATTAATAGACCCTGCTCTAGCCTCTTCCACCGCAAGAAAGTCTAAGCTCTGGACCATAACAAGAAAATTACACAAGTATTGGACCATCCTATATAAAATAGGTTAGATCTTTAGCTATGTACAACTGTGAGCCCCTAAAAAAAAAATTCCAATTCTCTCTTTTGAGGTCCATTTTGGCTTGTTGGGTTTTCACTCTAGTGGGCGCGGTTCGTACAACTGGCGCTTTTGGTCAAAAATGAAAAGATTATACTGTATCCAATCAAGGATTTTGCCTCTCACAAAATTAGGTACCTATAAATATAATTCCAATTAGGTCCATGTGGATAGTCCTCAAAGTTCACCTGACTCGGCCATGTTTTAAACACTTTGTTGGTCCATGGTTAAGGTCCCCTCCAATCTCTCTCTCTCTCTCCCTCTCTCCCTCTCTCTCTAGAATGTTGGGGGTGTAATTAGCAGATTGGATTAGAGAGAAGAGAACACACGACATTCACACGCATCATACGCCTATCTGGTATGTTGGGTCCATTTTTCAGGTTGCAAATGACATGGCCCAGATATGAATTATATTTTCACATTGCCAAAGCTGACTTTTTGGTGATAATAATGTGTGTACATTTTTGAATCGGGCAAAGTTTTGCAATTTGTTTTTGACATTTTTATGGGGTGGCCAAATTGGACAAGGAGAACAAACCGAGCATTTGACTAGACGGGAAACCTAGCTGAATCCAAACCTTGGTCGATATTGAAGAAATAATTAATTCGTACAACTACGCAAGTTAGGAGTAGTGAAATTTGCTCGATAATAAATATGTTTTTTTGGACCACGGTCACTATGGAAGTTTCTTAATGGAGATAATAAGGGGACCACTTGGGAAGTAAGACTTTGTGTAGAAGTGGCGAAAATATATAGCAAGGATGAGGACAAACAATATCCATTACAATTCAAAATTATATCCACTTTGTCACGTCCAAAAATGAATAAGAACAAATTCTAACATTCTCTATAGAGGAATATGTTATCCGAATGTGTTTTGTTTCTTTTCTCTTCATAGCAAAAACAAATAAAATCCTACCATAGTTTCACAACACTAGTCATCACCACTCATGAAAAATTTCTAAGCACAATGTATTCTTAACCTAAACAAGAAATAATCGGCACGATCAATATCGTGAAGGCGATATTCACCAACACTAGTTATCACCACTCATGAATAACTATTAAATTGTTAATTATTTATGATATTTGACCATTAAAATTTGTTAAGATAATAGATTTTTTAAAGGTTGTTTTGATTTTTTTTTAAAAAGTAGAATAAAATAAATGATCTGAACGCATTTAGATTTAGAAATATTATATATGTATAAAGCATAAACATGTTTTATGTCAAGCACTTTTGTCTATGTGAAATATTAAGAAAAAAAAACTAACAAAATTTATTACATTATACAGATTTGCTCCTCATTATTTTCCCTCATTATTGCTTCTAATCAACTAATATTTTGTGAATTGGTGTTTAACTCACATTTTTTATAAGAGAATGTATTCAATAAACCTCAAATATCATAGATAATTAGCAATTTAATGGTCATATCAACATTTTTGTTCAAAAACTAATATAATCAAGATGGAGGGGAAAAATTTAGAGACATATCATAGTTCTGGGGGCAAAATAGATACATTTTAAAGTTCATGGGGCATATTGACACAAGTGACAAAATTTAAAGGTGTTTATAAGCATTTCCGTAAAAAAAACTTAACAGAATTAACCTCAGGGGATATAGTGACACAAGTGATAAAATTAAAGGGGCACAATATGCACATTTTAAAATTTAAGAAAGCATGTTAACACAAATAATAAAATTGAAAGGAAATTTCTAAAATTTGTCCTTTATATTATTATTGTTACTGTTATATTCTTTTATATCACTTGGTTTCTGACTTACCACCCCGATTGTACTTTTTCAGTTAGACGTATACCCAAAAGATTTTTTTAACTTCAAAATCGACAAAGCTTGTGCCATTATAGATGGATGATTATGTGGGCCATGATTGATAGTGACTGGGTTTGGGCCCGTTGAAAGCGTTTTCATGGGGGGCTGATATTTTATTTTTATTTTTTAAATTATTTGAATGGTGGGGCTGGTTATGAAGGAGCATGCTAACATTGGCGCGTACAAATATCAAATGGACAAACATAAACTTCCAAGGTAGGATATGATTTTTTTCTCCCTTAAATAAAGTATGATATAACTGACTATGGAGAATAATGAGGGTGAAATTACATTTGTTATTAGAGAAAGAAATACTGCAATGTGATACAATCTGCTAAAGATACATATCGGCAATTAAGTGAGCTTTTTTTTTTTTTTTTTTTTTTTTTCACACCTTATAAGCTTCAGAATTTTCTTTTAGTTTTGTGAACTCAAAACGAAGTGCACGTGGTTGTTTTTTTGTATAAAATAAAGACAATGTTGTTTCCGATGTGTAGTTGATGCATCTTGTGTTTGAGATTTTATTTTCATTTTATAATAATGTATGGTGCTGGACTCTCCACTCTCTCATTTTGTTTGTATGCCTAATCTCGGAGATATTTAGTTCATAGATTAGAATAATGTGATTAGAATTATTTTTGATTTATGTGTATTTTTTATGAGAAAAAATACTATAGCGAACCACGAACCATGATTCGAATCAGGGAACGAATCTCCCAACCAAACAACCTTAGAGTTGGTTTTATGTAATGCTATGCGTGACCTTTCGTGTGTTACAGGTTTTTTGGTCTTGATCAATTATAATTTTCCATCTATTATAAAAGTATTATTGAAATAGTCATTGATATACTCGATAAGTGTACCTTTTCAGTTTCTCATCATAGAAACTTGGTGCACGTTTCTTTATGCGTTTCACTAGAACTCTACTATGAATCCAATTTGTGGTTGGGGTGGCAATGCCATAGCATCAAAAAGACAATTTATAATTGTTCTCTATCCTATCATTCAAAAATGAGGTTGTAATTATACCTCTCACATTTTGTTAAATATAGTTTGAGTTGACGTGATTTTAAACTCCGATGTTGCTAGTTGGCGAAATCATGAACTAAAATTTCTTTATGTTTTACCTGTGATTTTAATAGATTATCAAGTGATTTGCAGTCTGAGAGATGAACAGACCACTGATATTTTTTTTTATTCAGCAAAGAAAAACAAAACAGTTACAAAAAAAAAAAAAAAAAAAAAAAAAAAAAAAAAAAAAAAAAAACTGTAAGAGTGATAGCAGTTGCCTTGGGGGAAAAAAAATTGCTGGTTTATTTATTTATTTATTTATATTGGGGGAAGAACACTCACACAATGGCTTTTTCGTCAGCCAAGTGTCGCTCTCTGCCGATGGAGAAGCTAGCTTACAACCAATCACAACTTGACAACTGGCAAATAAAAACCTCACTGGAAAAGCTGATATCTCGAAAAGGATCGAAAAGATTTCACGAGTATTTTCTTCC